TTCGGGATAAAGAAAAGCTTGACTTGTCACTCTTCTAGATGTGGATGACTGTTTGATGCTTCGTTATACCCACTGCATTCAGTTTTGGTGGAATATTTACTTCTGATTTTCAAGACCATCATTAACTCATGGAAGCATGATTGGCTCCTTATGTTTCTAAGTCAAAGATGGCCATAATTGGTTTTGCAGGTCTCCTTTGTTTAAGTTGTACTTATCTGAACTAGGGACTCAATTGAAAGTGGATTCCTCAGCAATAAGGTTCAGTTTCACATCCTTATCTCTTATTTAAGAAAAAATTTTAAGGTGACTTAGAATTTAACAATCATCTTGACTTTTATTTTGTTTACCAAAATTGAAGAACATATTTTGAGACCTGTGTTTGATAAATGATGGAGTATGATGTGCTAGGTTGAATCAAATCAACATAGACTATAGCCTTATTTAATATCAAGTGGAATTTCTAATGCATTTTAAGCAATAATTCCATGTGTGTTAGCAGTGTGTTTTTTTTAGCAGATGCAGCAGCTCAATCCAAGATAAAGGGATGCACACAGTCTGTGAGTATATTGAGCTCCTGCTGCAAGTTTATTTCTTTTTATAGGCTCACCTATTCTGCTGGATCCATGATTTTTCACTTATTTCTTTTGTTTTGACAATGTAATATGTCGTCTGTTTTTGGTTGATATTATAGTAATATAGCAAGTAGACCCAACGATATTACATTCTTGGAGGGTTGAACTCCAGCTTAAGCTTGGACATGAATAGAAAAATATGTAATAAGATAATGCTTTTCTGCCATGCAAACAGTTTCTTCATTCTAAAGCTGATATTGATATTCTCGCGGTTAAAATAAGGGGAGTTATATTCTTTTCCTTTATGCATGTTTTGCAGAATTGGACCAAGATGTAGAGTCTTGGTTACACGGATTCTTCTACTAACTGTTTTCTTAACTATCCTCATTGGAAACGATTGCATGCATGGGTGATCATGCACAAGGAGATCAGGCACCAAACAACTTTGCTTATTCCATTTTAGATTCTCATCCTTGAACCATTTAGATATGCTTTATCTCTACACTTTTATGGCTAATGCCTTAATATGATATGATCACTCTTAAATTGTTTGCAAAACCTCTCAAACCAATTAAATTTTGATGTATTCTCAGGTGACCTCCATGAGAGAATATGGTGCCTTTACATCTTTCATGTTTGTGCCAACCATCTAATGTCCAGCAGTTGAGCATTACCATGCTGGTTTCAGTAAGAATTTCTGTTCCATATGAATTGATTTTCTGTTTTATGTCTTCTATGACTACTTCCACAACATTTGTGCTGATATTTTGCACATAATTTATCAGTGGGTTTCGAATATTCTCCTTCATTGAATTCCGGTCATGAAAAGAAAGGGTTGGTAAATTGATATCTTCGTAGCAGCCAGCCATCCTCATCAACTTGTACCGCTGAGGTTGCTTATTAGGATGGAAGGAAAAAAGTGACATTATAGGGAGATGGAGTGGCAGAGTATCTTAGTCATATACTTCTGTTATAAATGATCCATCCCTCGATCTATTGCCATTTGAAAATTTTAATATATCGTTCTTTCGATAAATAGTATTTTTAGTCCCTAAATTTTGATTGATATTTAAAATTATTTTTTTTTTATAATTTTCAGTCTCCAAACTTTATATATTATTATTTCAAATCATTAATATCCGTGATGAACACGTTGCCTTAAATGAAAAATCAGCCACATGCCACCCAATTTAATTTTATTGGGCTGCCAAGCGACCGAAGAAAAAATCAAAATTAACCAAAATATTTATGACACCCGAAATACTTATTCAGGTAGATGACACTCAAAATTCCCCGTTTGAAAAATTCTAACGCCTAATCGTCTTGGTTCGGGTGGATGATACCAAATTTCAAAACCTTAATTGTTAATGCCTCTGGCTCCACATACGATTACTTTTTGACAAGCCTCTTAGGCGAGACAATCTCCTGACTTTTTCTTCAGTACAACAGGAACCTCAGAGAGGAAACAAAGGGTTTTCCTCTTTTCAACTTCTTCTCTTGGTTGTTCTTTGTGTTTGTGATGTGACACTAAATAAATATGTTCGGTAATTTTGAAGTCTAGTGATTGTACAAGCTAAACTAATGGAATATACAAGGTGATATAACAAGCTAGTCAAATTTGTGATGTGTCCGATTGGTCTCTATTAGTTATATACGCAATGAATTAAATTTTTATCAAACAGAAAGAATAGAGTTAAGTTCTAACTTATAGTAGGAGCGCCAAATCAAGATCTTTTGCTGCTTGTAATCTCCTTGTTCGACCCTTTTGAAGTAAGCTTGTTAATTTGACTTGTTGCTTGTTCGAGATTTCTTTCATAATATGATTTTATGGCCCTTAGTTCCAAATCTATAACACCTTCGCACACCTCAATAGCCTGGTGATTGCGGTTGTTTTTCAAGATCTTGGATCCTCCTTTTTTTGATCTTCTTGCTTGTTTTCTATATGAAGGATTTAGTTGATGACATGGGCCATAATAAGGGTCTACTAACGAACTCAATATTATGTTCGTGCGTTTGCTATTTTATGTGCTCTTGTGGTAGCACACAATAAATATAATCGAGAGCTTCTATGAGTTACAAGTTATTTTCATATGATCTTATACTTATAGTTACTTGATAGGTTTACAAAATAATTTATTGACAATAAACTTGTCTCTTATCTCATTTATTAAATGTACTTGTGGTTGACAATTTTTTTTAAAATATTTTATATAATTTTTAAATTTTAAATTAATTTTTTATCATTCTTATTTTCAGTATTAATTTTATCTAATATTTTTTTATTATTACCGCCTAATTCTTTATTTTAATCTCGAATTTAGTATAATACAATCTTTTGTTACTAGATGTGTTATCTGATCCATATCATACTATTTCATTTATAGAATAAATTTTAAAATATCACAACTCGAAATTTCAAAATTATACTAACATTTTGGAGACAAAATGTCGCATATATTTCTAATGGTTTGGTTGAATGTTAAATTCTCCAAATCATTTTTTTATTGTATTTATTGGTTTGGAGTAAAATTACGACTCACACTCATGAATATCAGAAGACTTTATAATTTGAAACTGATTCATATTCTCTGTGGTGATTTTTACAAATAACCGTGTTGATTTTTTTTTCCCCCCTTCAATTTTAGGAATTGTAGAAATTAAGAAGAGCATACTCTTAATATAGGAACACAAGCTTCTTTCATTGAAACATTTAAGAGAAGAAAATTTGTTGAAGATAATCTTGTGGTGAAGCTAGAAATATTAACACTTAAAAAAGTTTTGTAATTGGGGATTTTGGGAATCAATTGTGTGGAAAAGAAGGGTTTTCAAGTGTTAAGGTTCTTTTAAATGGTGGATTTTGTGTGTCATTGAGTTGGAAATGGTGTTTTTATGATTTATTTTTAAAAGATAAGAATTATGAATTTAATCTCCCCTTTAATTGGCTCTCACTCAAATAAGAATCACAATGAAACACATTTTCAGGTACTGCCCTCTAAAATGATAATCTACCATTAAATTATTTGTAATAAATTATATATACATACCATTTTTACCTTTTTTTTTTTATAAAAAAAAATAGAAAATTTGGAATTAAAAGGAGGAAAAAGAAAACTAAACATATATATATATATATATATATAGGCAAATTTGTTCCCAATATTTTTTAAATCCTTAAAGAAGCCTTATCACACTCCATCAAATTAATCAAAGTTTAATTTACCATTTCCCACTTCAAAAACTAAAGATCTAAAGGTTGGTCAAACACCAAAAAAAGGAACAAAGACCATCCATTTTAATAAAGCAGGCTCCTTTCATCTGTTCAAGTCTTTGCCTTATTCCATTAGGGAAAATTTCTTTGAAGTTTCCAAGCAAACTTATGGAAGCAAATACAGATACTATCTATATATGTATGTATATATACATACAAACGCACACACATCTACACTGGCATGAAAACTTAAAAAAAAAAAAAAAAAAAACCCCACTTGCAGGTATATGAACTTTATTTTTTATTTTTTCAAATTTTCTTACCTGAGTTATACATGTTATGGAAGTGTTCTTCACCTCATCAATGTAAAGAACTTGACCATCCATTGTGTTAAAATTCACTTGCTACTGTTTTAACTTCACAAATATTATGTGTTTGAACCTGCGCACATGAACATTGTTCTCCCAAATTTCTTTCTCAGTGGAGATCATCTTCTCACCTTGGCTGTAGATGTCTCGAACAGCACAATCTACCCAAGCCTGCAGGCGACAAGTGCCACGTATTCGATGGACTACAACACTTCACAGTGCCTTTGTGAATGCCGTTAATGCTCTTGGTGGCCCTGAAAGTGTGTGATCCTCCTTTCTCCATATCATTTCTTTTTTTCTGTCATGAAGGTCAATAGGCCTTATATATGCATTGTGTATATCTCACTTGTACAAAACTGATTCCCAGGGGCAGCTCCAAAAGATGTTCTGCAGCTCATGAATGTGAAGGATTTGACCCTTGCTCATGTTAAAAGCCACTTGCATGTACATATTCTTCTTCTTCTTCTTCTTCTTCTATGAGGTTTTCCTCTGCAAAATATTATAGTGTGTTTCAACCTAGCTGTGCCATAGTCTGCTGCTTAATCTTTATAAATCCTTTATTGCTACTTGAACTACAGATGTATAGGACAGTGAAGAGAGTCTCAGGAGTATCAGAAGGTATACAAGATTATTCCTCTTTATTTTTTCTTAGTGAATAAAAAAATCGAGTTTTTAACACATTGTTTTACCCTAACTAAAGATACTTAACTTACCCGAAACAAACTATACTTTTACTGAGACTAAACCCAAATTAATCACTGAAGCTCTAACGATATACTAATGAGTCATTCTTTCTTGAATTAGATTTTGACTAATCCGTATGCTTATTAGTTTATCAACAATATTGCAGCACCCTCAATGAAAATCTCTTATCCTGCTGAAAAAATAACATCTAATCACTTGATAATGTAAGTAAATTTCTATATATTTTGATATGTAGAAGAGTTTTTCCATTAGATAGAATATGTTTAATGGCTGAGAGGGAATACATAATCATGTCAAATGTGCATCATATCAGTCCCAGCGGTTCTAATAACCCGGCAGAAAATTATATCCGCCAAAAGGAATATATTACCATAGAGGTAACAAATGTCAATGCAGAAAGGACAGAAGTATCATTTTTCAAATTGTCCAAGGTAAATGATAATATCGGAGTTCTTACATAATTTGAATATGTGGCTGACTTCTGCTTCTCGTCATTTGAGTTTCTAATTTTATTTTTGCAGGCAACTTTGGAGCATCTCTTTGCTATTGCCAACTTCGTGTTGGAGCTTCTGGCAGCTGTTTTTGATCAACTTTCGTCTTCTGATAAGCCAGGGTGTGCACTAATTGGCATGTCGATATCTTTCGTGGCCATGTTCATCTGCATCATTGAGCTCGTTTTCAAGGGTAGACGCCAAAAAGTAACATGGAGATGGAGAGGCAGGAAATCTTGGTTTTACTATCCATCTTCAAGTCAAATGCGATTTGGTACTTTCACAGATATCGTTGGTTTAACCTGTGCTGGATTTCAGTTCATCTTTGCAGCGATTAATTATGGGTTTTTAAGCCACCATGTTAATAATCCTATTAAGATATCTGTGTGGCCTGTCATCTTTGCTTTCGGCTTATTATGTTCTGAGTTTTGCAAGGATCCTGAAAAGAAGAACTTTCCATAGATGGGATTTTAGTTTCTGGTGTGATGCAATGCAGATACTAGTACATATAAACAGAATATGAAGTGCAATAAAATTAATTTTCTTTTTACGTGAAATTAATCTCTAATTCTGCTTGGAATGAAATTTGATGGAATTTGAAATACACTATTTAATTAATCCTAGTTAAACTAATTATGAAATTCTAATTAAACCAATTATGATTATCTATCCAGAGCACCTGTTCTTGCTTCAAGTTTCATTCATGTCTGAAGATGATTGTAATAACTCATTTAGTTATATATTAAGAAAAATGTAGCATTAAATGATATTTAAAACTATTTTTATTCAACATGGTGTAGATGATACATACATCTTAGACTGGAAAAAATATTTGCTCTTGTTTTATACGTATAAAAAAACAAATTTTGACAATATTTATCCAGTTTGTAGAATCAAAACAAACTTTCAAATCAATTAATACTTTCATCAAAAGCAAATAATTATTTCAGATCTCTCAAATTCTTAATTTTTATTCAAAGATAAGTTTGATCCAATATTTTTACTTAAAAACGTAATTTAGTGATAATATGTATTTTTCTTAAAATTATATAATTAACAAATAGTTTCACAATTAACATTATAAAATCTAAATAATTTTCAAATATTATAAAACTCACTTAGTATGCTCCTCCATTAATCTGAAATGAATCAGGCTTTTGATCCAATATTCATGAACTGCATATTGGCAGAAGAATAATCAATTCCTTAATTTTCTCCTTAGGGCTTCCAAATGTTTCAACCCATATGTATATTTATGTATGCCCATTTCTTTGTTTTAGGTCGTAGGGGTATTTTAGTAATTTAATTATAAATTAAATATATACATATACATTTCTTCTTTATATGGAATATTTGTCTGTAGATTCTCATTTCTGTGGAATATTATCCTTTCCCTTATCAAGTTTTGGCGTAGTTTGGTAACCAACCGATTTGTATTCCTCAAAGAAAATATGTGTATATATATTTATAAAAAATATGTATATACATATATGTATAGTGCTTCATCATTGTAGGGCCCTTATTCCATGGAGTGCAATCAAAATTCTTGACTGAAATTTGAAACAGAGGAATGTTATGAATGGTGGTCCCTTTCACTCGCTTAGGCAATGGATGCTTCCTGGGAAAGCTAACCCAGTATTATTTGAGTAAAACAGAAGAGAAAATTCACAAAAAGGAAACTTTTTGCCTGATTCTATCTCTTCTTTAATCAATTTAAAGATAGAGGCTTTACAAAATTACAGTATTTTTGAGTACTGTTCAAGTTCCTATAAGTAATGTTTATTGCAGATTGGCAATTGGAAAACCTCAAAAACAGAACACTGAAATCACCAACACCATGTCTTTGTTCCTCCAATTCCATCATGGGTCGAGGAATTGATGGAAAAGATAAAGATGAAAGGACTGTAATTGAAGATGATGATGTTTTTTTTTCCTTTTTTCCTACCATGAATAGACAGGTGAGATCTGGCACAATCCGTGATGTTGCTTATTAGGCTTAGTGAGAATTTGATTCTTTTAAAGTGACAATTATTTCGTAAGTCTTTTTTTCAACCTCATTTCATATTTCACCTAACAATCTCTTCTTCAATCTATCAATACACACACACACACAAAGATCTCAAAAATAGCAGCGATGAAATTTATGAGCATGCAGAGCTTGAAGAGGCTTCAGTTCATGAGGTGGGGGAAGAGAATTGCTAGCTCTGGTTCTGGAGAAATTTCCCCTCACAGTGTTCACGCCCATAAATCACCATATATCTGGAGGCAGCTTTTCTGGAAGTTCAAGTCACAGTTGAAGCAAACTCTGGGATGGCACAGCACCAAGATTGTACACTACAATTACGATCTTCAGAGCTATCATCTCAACTTTGATGATGGTTTTCTTGTATGAATATCATATCATAATATTTTTCTCGAAAAGAATTTTCACCAGTTCTGCAATAATCAGCTGGTTTAGGTTGATATCAGTTGTTTAATGTGTCATTTTGAGGCAAGCATGCATAAAAAAGTTTCTCTATGCAAATTGTGGGTATTTTGTGGCTTATTCTCTTCTCCAAGTTGTTTGTGCTTGACTGTTTAGAGTCATGCTGATGCTATATTGTTCTATCATGAGAATAATTGTTGGAAACTATATATGAAATGCATGCAGAAAGTGGATGTATCTACGGACCTTATTACACTTTTTTTTAATGGGTTGCTAAGAAAAAGATGAAAAAAGAAAGATTTCTTTGGAACCTCAATCATATCCTAGATGTATGTGAATGAAAATTTTGGAATAGTTGCTATGTCTTCATCTTTTTGTTCCCTTCCCATAAGCTGCAGAAACAGAAGGATGGTTGTGATAATTTTCACGTCATATTTGCTAAACTTTAAATTGGCATCTTTGTGGGTAATACTTATAGGGTTGCATCCAAGCAGATCCTACGCAAGAATCCAGAAAAAAGAAAAGCAGAAAAGACCCTTCAATTCTTTCTGGTTAAAAATTGGATAAAGAGAAGAACTGCTACTTTCTAGAGTGGGTAATACTTACAGGTTGCATCCAAGCAGATCCTACGCAAGAATCCAGAAAAAAGAAAAGCAGAAAAGACCCCTCAATTCTTTCTGGTTAAAAATTGGATAAAGAGAAGAACTGCTACTTTCTAGAGTGATGACGCCTGACAAAAATATGATTTTTTTTTTTCAGAAAGATTACGATAAGAGTGGTGAAACAATAAAATAATGTAGGCTTTTTTTGTATTCGTCACGCCATCTCACCCATCATTTTTGTAGTTTGGTTTTCAAGAAGATATACTAAATCTCACTTTCATCTTTACTTGGAAAAGATATAAAATCTCAGTTAAAAAACTTAAGAGAAATGTAAAATGGGAATTCTATTAATCCCAAAAAACTGGACAATTCACAGCCTTTTTGTTTTTGTTTTTGTATATACAGAAGAAGAATAGAACAACAGGATTTATAGGAAGAGAAAGAGGTGAGCTGGTCAGCCATAATTGATAGGTAGGGAATATATCAGAATATGTTGGTATTCTGGTATGAAAATGGGTTGGCAGTATGCTAGCAAATTCAACTGAATACCAGAATTTGTTTTAAGAGAAAATTATCCTGCACTTTATAGGGACAAGGGCTGTGGACTGATAGCGAGTTGCGGGTTGCGAGCTGCTGGCTGCGGACTGCTTTGCATCACAGCTTCATTCCTTTCAATCTCAAGCATAATGCTGGTTTGGTTTGAGCAGATCTGGAATTTTAAAATGATGGAAGTTGAGTCATGTAAGCCTTTAGATGACTGATTGTACTACTTCCAGGAACACTGATTGGAAATTGGCTGTAGCTCAATAGGTAGAATTACTGTAACTGAGGTTTGGTTTACAGAATTCTTAGATAAGAAAGTAGAAGCTTTCTTCAACTGAACATTCAATGGATCTTCAACTGAAGGATGTTGACATTAAAAGCAATTTTTTTTTTTTTTTACTTTCAGAAGAAGCTGTAGAAGAAACCTACATATAATTTGCTGCACTATATTTATCACGTCATGCTAGTTAGAAAGACACATCTATTATTGTTTTCTGAGGAGAAAAAAGAAAAAAAAATGAATTATACATCATTCCTCTCTAGCTCGCACTTATTACAGTAGTTTCTGTTTCATTGTGGGGCTAGGAGCTCTGTCCCATGTCCATAGACTGTCGGACGTTCCAGTATCAGATCTTTAGGACTCCCGAACTCAATAAGAGGTTTCAACTCCCAAATTCAATGAGAGGTTCAGTTCTTTGTGTTGCAAGACCATCACAGCAGCTTAAGCAGATAAAAAGTGGTGGCAGAACTGAATCCTCAATTCCACAGCAGCGTGTGTGTTGCCAAATCTCGCAAAGGTCACAAGCCACCATCCTCTCACCATCATCGTCTTGGACTCCACATGCGCATCTCTCCATCCAATTCTCAGTACCACCTTGATACCTAAACTTGGAACCCAAGTCTATCCCACTTCCTCTCACGACAAGTTGAGCACCAGATTCAACTTTCCCAGAAAGCATCTGCCTGTCCTCCATCTCTTCCAGATTTTCTATATCTGTCACTACAAATCTATCCATACCATAGTAGGTGTCCCTTAGTGCATTTGCAATAGCTTTCTTTAGGTCCAACAATGTGACATGATATGGAACCACAACCAATTCACCTGGCAGTAATTCCTTAGCGCTTGTAGGCTCTAAATCAATCAAACTTGGCTTCACTTGATAAAAAACTATCAACGTTTGTTCCTTATCGTCTCTGAAGGACCAATCTTTAACAAAGTGCTTGCTGTCCAGAACTGTTTGAACTGACGTTTCCACTGTTTCTGATTCTGGATAATTCAGCAAAAGATTTGTATACAGCACAGTAACATCGCTATACACATCAATTCCTGGCACCAAAGCAGGACCTCGAATCCGCTCTTGAACTACTTCTGGTTCTGATTCTTTGGTCCTGAAACCATCAGCAAGTTCATGAATTGTATATTCCAAAATTCGAGTTGCTGGATTTACTGCACGGCGAACAATGTAGCGTCCAACAATCACATTGTTCATTGACTTCAGGACATAATCCAGCAACCCAGTATCTCCAATACGCATCCGAGCTGCATCTCTCACATCTTGTCGAGTCATCCCACCACAACCAAATTTGGCAGCTTTCTTCTCCTTCAACGCCTCCACAATCACCTCTGCTGCAAATTCTAGCCTTCTCACAGGCCATCTGCTACCCAGAGAACTCACCATAGTACTGAATCTTCTATATTTTATGACCTTTTGTTCCTTCCGTACTAGAGCGTGCTTTTCCAGGGTTGTTCTGTTTGAAGAATTAAGCATAAGAGATGGACCATCTGTAATAGTCATGGCCAATCTGTTTTGTGACAGAGAACATGATTTGACTGTGAGCATAAACCTCAGAAGATCCCTCAAGGTGATCAACTGAGCTTCACTCTTATTTCTATAGTGACTAATAATCTGTTTGATTTCCCTACTGAATTCTTCATTCCCAAATTCTGATACAACTTTATCAACTTCCAAAGAACTGATAATTTCAATTGCTCTATAGTAACTGTGTTGTGTCATCCCATAACTTCCACGGAAGAACTTATAGCCCCACCTCCCAAACCATGAATGCCCATAAGCAATTCCATGAAGTAGCCGAAGATCCATACACCGCTTTTTTGACAAATCCTTAACAGTGATTTTTCTGCAAAAAATGAAATAGACACACCAAAGAAAAAACATCATCTTTCAAGCTAAATCTGCCTAGATCTTGATCAATGATATGATCACTCAGGATTTTCTATTACCGGGCTCGAAGAATGTTGCAAATACGATCCCAAAGATCCATGATTTCTCTGCCACATATAAATTTGGATCCTCCTTCAATCCCATTTATGCAGATTAAATGACCAAATCCATTACAGTGGATCAGTCCATGCAAGAGATGGGTGTGGAGATCAAAAGCAGCATCCTCAAGACGCATATTCCATTCAGTATCAACTGGAATTATCAGATGATACTTCCGTTTAGACAGTAAATGCTTACTCCAACCTTTAAAAAACAGAAACCAAAACCAGCAAAAAAAAATCAACAAAAATGGAAAATTCCCAATTCAAAAAAGTAACACTAGATACCAAATCCCCAACTAAAAAGAAGAAAAACGCATCTGAGAAAATCAAGGCATGCATTAAAATGAAAAAAGGTCTCTGTATGTTCAAAATCTAACCAGTGCATCTGCAGTGATCGCAGTAGGGTCCAATGGAGCACTGAACATTCTCTTCAATGGTGTAAAGAGGAAGGACAAAGCTCTTGTTCTCGTGAACCAGAAGAGTACACCAGATGGGCATTCCTCCCACGTAATAGTCTTCAGGCTCTGCACATTCTTCAAGGAAAATCCGCACATTGTCGCGGAAAGGACCCGTGAAGCTTACTGGGTGCCCGGGTTCTGCAAACTTGTGAAACTCAAATATCTTCGGCCTCCTCTTTCTCTTCCTACAAGTTTCAATAATAGGGATGGACATTGCTGAAGGCAAAAGACTGGAGCTTTTCCTTTCTCCTCCAATGGCGTAATTCTTGAATTCTTTTAACGAAGAGAGAGGAGGAGAAGGGGTTTTGTGTTGGGGTTTTTAACTGACTGGAGTTTGTTCAGTGTTAGTTGCAGGTCGTCCCGCTCGAATTCAAAGAAGAAACGATCAGTTTTGTTAATAGCATTAGGGGCATTATGGTCATTCTACTTTCCAACGTCGTTAATTTCTCTGTTCGTGTTCTTTAACGGAAACCGGAAATAGTTTGGAGAAGCGGCAAATATATTATCTGACGTGGAGGCATATAGACGTGCCACGTCCAATTACATAAAGGTTATGTCTCTGATAAATATAAAATTTTTCTTCTGATTTATTTTAAATTTCATTGATTCCAATAGAATTTATAATTTATTATTTTAATTTTATATAACAATTCTAATTATAATACTACACACAAATTCTCTTATTTAAATTAAAAATATATTTAGAATAATTTTAGAAATTATCTAAAATTTATTTATAAACTTATATATAATTTAATTAGAATAATTTGTAAATCGTGCCAGATAACAAGAAAAACAAGTACATGGCGAATGCTGCTTAAAAGTCTCTATAAAATTAGATTTAATTAATCTAGAGAAGACTTTCATAATAATAAAATTAATTTTATCTAGTTATATAGAACATAGCACGAAAAGATTATGTATCTTCATATTAATATTAAATCAATTGGTTATAGTTTAGAAATATATAAATTTTTATTATGCTTGGAAGTTTTTAAGTTATTGATTTAGCTTAACAATAGCATCTTTTTTATACTCTCTTACAGAAACTCTTTCTCTATAAAAATGAATGATTCCTCTAATAGAAAAAAGATTGTTTCCCCCTCTTATACATGGTGTTCTTCCTTGAGAAATTTAAACTTTTTTGTTGATTTTTACCTGTTTGTATCTGTGATTTCTATAAGAACTAAGATGATTTTTCTCTTTGTTTGGTTTGGATTTGGGGGTCATATGATTTATCCTAATTACAATTTAGAAGACGACAAACAACATGCAGTTTGGGAATTTATTATGTAATTTGTTTAAAAGAGTATATATGAATTTACAAGTGCTAGGTTCTTAATCTTTAAATATGCAATGAAGATTCTGTGTCTTTCTTATATGTCATCTGATGATTTTTCGTTCATAAGATCATTTTCCATGAATGACGTCAATTTTGTATATGCACATTTCTTTTATTTCAATACTAATGAGGGAAGAAATGTGAATTAGAAAATTTAGTGAGACAAATCGTACTTCATTTTGACAATGTAGTATGCCTAAGCATGAATCTTATGCTTTATATGCATATAAACATGCCACGTCAGCAATTTATTTTTGGTCCAATTACATAAATATAAAATTTTTCTTCTAATTTATTAGTTAAAATTTACAATCATTTTAATTATTAAGTTCATATAAATTGTCACATAGAATTCAACTAATTTATTTTAAATTTCATTAATTTCAATAGAATTTATAATTTATTATTTTAATTTTATATAACAATTCTAATTATAATACTACACACAAATTCTCTTATTTAAATTAAAAATATATTTAGAATAATTTTAGAAATTATGTAGAATTTAGTTATAATTTAATTAGAATAATTTGTAGATCATGTCAGATAACAGAAAAAAAATAAATACATGGAGAATCATGCTCAAAAGTCTTTATAAAAAGACAAATTTAATTAATTTAGGTAAGACTTTCATAATCGTAAAATTAATCATATCTATGTACCCGCACAAGAAAATTATATATCTTCATATTTAATATCTAATCAATTGGTTATAGTTTAAAATGTTTTCATGGTTTCTGAGTATACTTTCTTTATGTTGCAATTCTCTTTCGTACCCTTTTTCATTTGAATGTTCTCTTTCTCTATCTCTGTTTCTTCTAAATTTTTAGATTGGTGGAGGTAGGTGTGTTGAGATCGGTGAAGGAGCTACGTTTTGGATTGTCGATGCCCTCCTTAATTTTTTAATTCTTGACTGTACTAGTCTTTGTTGGTTTTGGTTTACAAGTCGTTAGATAACACAAGATTGTTGCATGTAATTTTCTCTTTGACGAGATAGTAGTTCCTATGCTCGATCAAGTTATCTAAACTTCACCTACTGAAATTGTGATTACTTTTATTTTCTTGTCGACTTTAATTTGTATATGTTGGTAAAGAATTGGTTTATTTTCCGCCAACTTTTGTATTTGCTTCAATGTGCATCTAAGTAAACAATTTGTTGCAATTGTATGCCTTGAAGATGATTAATCAATTTAGAGGTTATGGGAGTCCTATAATGTGGTTATAGATCATAATGTACATGTATTCCTCTTGGGCCTTGTACATCTGCATTCATTATAAGGGTTGCAAAAATTGGGAATAATTGTTTTGTCTTTAAATCATGAAATGGTACTTTGTAACCATATTTTTTTATTGTCAAAATTCTAGTTAAGAATGCAGTAACATTGAATTCAACCTTTGACATGTTTGAACATGTCTTATTTGCTTCCTGAATTGTTGACTTCAAAACCAATACTTGTAAGTTCAAATAATTGTGCCAATTTGCAATAAGTAATAGTCTGCTTAAGGTAATTGAAACCATGGAGAAGGTATACTTGGAATTTGTTAATGGAACTCCCAATGAAAATATGTGGACTCTATTATTAGACAGAAGTATAAGGATATTAAGAAATAGGATTGGAAATCACTACAGTGCAATGGGTTCAAATAACTACATTGGATTGACTAGCTTTCGAGTGCCCAAAAAGCCCTTATTAGTTATCGATCTTCTAGCCATAAAGAATATGACATTACTGGTAAATTGCAACTACTTAGATCAAAGTGATTAGGTTTTCAATCTGTATGAACTCCTAATCTATCTGTATATTATAGTAGTCTAGTTTACTAAGTTTGGTGGAACCTGAAGAAGTTATTAAACTTGCAACCAAAGATGGTAGCAATTATATTACTATACACAAAAAGTTAGCGCCACCTAAGTTCTTGAAAAAGATTCTAATATTTCATTTTGTTTCTTACCAAGTTAGCTGGAGTTAGAGTAAAATGGATTTATAACATAATCGTTTTTTCAGTCAACATATTCTAACCTTGCAGGCTTATGAATACATTGTACAAGTGGTTTCAAGTGACGAATTTTGTTCCTTCATACTATCATCACCAATGACCCAATATGATGTTGATCTTACTATTCTTTATCGAATATTGAGAGAAAATATGCTAAAGCCATCAGGTTTTACAGTAATCCCTGATGGGCCACCAGAATCTGATGCATTTTTAGTGACTATTGCCATGCAATAAGAAGTTGAAGTGTTAGGAACTGAGGAAACATTGAGGCTATGAGTCAACTCATAAACTCCACTGTTAATGAGATCAACGAAGTAAGTAATTCCTGTAGCCCACCTCCTTAAATATTCTTGGCCATGAATTGTTAACACCAAACCTCTGGATTTTAATTTGGTCAATTTTAGTGTATCATTCTTATGAATTTCTTGAATTTTTTTCTTAGATTCTTGTTCAAGTAGGTTGATATATCTAAAATATACTATGAGGATTGAATATACGAGTAAACAACATCACTTACCATTTCTTATGTGGTAAAACTTCTATTTTCTTATGCTTTTGCTTCTTTCTGCTGTTGCAAGAGATGGAGAAGAGAACGAGTAATTTGTTTGTTGTTGTGAACCTCCAAAGTTTGGTTGGATAAATCCAAGCATACTAATAAGTAAGTGTGAATACCGGATAGAATAATCATAGTTCATAAATATAGTTAGTTCCAGTTAGTGGGTCTGTATAGAGTAGTATTAAGGTTTTAAATTGTTGGGCGTATACATTATTATTCGCTTATGATCAATAGATATTCAAGAAGAATGTTATCTTGCGAATAGAAATTTTTACAGGTTCTCTATTTGAGAGAAAAAAAATGATAACTTGTAAAAAAACTCAATTGAGTAAAGATATGATTTAATGTTTCCTCTTAATTTCCTTTCTTGTGCCATGTGTAAAGGACCTTGGGAACATTTATACATGCAGGGAAGAAAAGGAAAAAACAAAAAGGTGGTCTCTGAAATATAACGAGATCACCAGCTGTCCACAACAACCTAACCAATTTAAAATAAAAAAAATCATAGCCCTTCATTTTAGGGTTGTGATCTGGGTGGTCCATCTGTCTATCTTCTCATGGTTTCTTAATTTTTCACCTGCCCCTCAAGATGAAGCCCGTTTACTTTTGAGTCTTCGAGCTCCTCACTGCTTCTTAACTATTTGTGTTTTCTTGTTGCAGATGTTTCATCTTGAACAAAAGTTGGTGATGTGTTGAAGTCCCTAAGGGTTTGGTGAGCAAATCAGCAAGCTATTCTCTCGAGGTGACGTTCTTTATCTTGAGGAAGCCCTTTTATACCTGATTGCAGACTATGTGGCAATCAATGTCAAGATGCTTCGTTCGTTTGTGAAAAATTGGGTTTGCTACGATGTGCTTGACGAATTTATTGTCACAGTTCAGTGTTACGGGTAAATGAGGTATTATTTAAAAATCTCGAAGGAGATAAGTTATCCATTGAACTTTGCACACTGTGGATGACATACTTTTATACTCAACTTCTGCAGAAGACTTGTTCACCATTGTTTGCTTCTTTGTTTTCTAAGAGATTAGCGTCGACCCGAGAAAGATGTAAAAACCCGTGAGGAATTTACGGGTCATCGGACATGATGCCCAGTCCGAGTCATAAAAGTCTTGGACTTTGAGGTCATTCCTTCTCAGAAAGAAGATGCCTTGTTCCAGATACTGCTTTAGGTACTTGACAATATGTAGTGCGTCATCGAGATAAAGCCATCTGGGTTGTTGCATGAACTGGCTGAGATGTTGGGTGGAGTATGTTATGTCGGGTTTGGTAAAGTTGAGGTAAAGCAAGCGGCCGATTAGACACTTGTATCTTTCCGGA